TAGTGTTTGGAAGGCTTTCGTCAGGTGCTACCGATTTAGGTGGATAATATAAAACCACGTAATTTTTAGTGATGAGTACTTTATCCTTCTGCATTTTACCAGAAAAGTAGGCATATATTTGCAATCAAGGTACGTTAATTTAAAATCTAACCCCAATATATTTGCTCTAAATTGATATTTATTGGCGAGAGACAAAGATTGCTATGAGTTTTGGCAAGAAGAGCCGGGAAAAGGGGTCAGACCCTTTTTACATGGTGTGTAAAATTCAGGTACTTATACTTTTAGCAGCTTCTTATTCTCTGGCTATTTTCCAAAATCAGTTCTTGCTGGCTTAATCATATCCGGTTTTGAAATGTTCACTTTGAGACCCCACTTCTCGTTTTCTTTAATGAGTTTTCAACTCATATACTCAATATCATACGAGCCTTGTGCTATTACGATTTGTTGATTCTCGAACCTGAGCGTATATACTGTGGAGTAGTATACTCATATTTGGTTGGAAAAAACAAGTTGGAAGCGTTTTGTCCTCTGAATTTGGCACACTTACTTATCTGTTCTGTAGAACTGCAACTGGCAAATTCATCCCACCAGTACTTGTATTCTCAAGGAAGAAAAGAACTCCAGTTTTTATTTTCAATGATTGCCCTCCAGGAATATTGGATTTAATAATAGACTGCTTAAGCACTGAATTTTTTCTGTAATGGCTCAAATTTTTTAAAAATTCTCGACAACCATGTTGTCGGATTATGCTTATAAAAATAACGTTTTCCTGCTCACTAGTGTTCCCCAAATGTAAGACCAAGACAAGACTTAGCCAGTCTTGGTCTTGGTCTTGCGCCAATATATCTGGTCTTGGTCTTGGTCGTGGTATTGCACTCCCAGTCTTGGTCTTGGTCTTGCAGCAAGAGTCTCGCAAGTCTCGCAATGTCCTATCTATTGCTATTTAATAATTGACATTAGTAGTACTTTATAATTCTTTTGATCATGAATTAACGCAAAGTAATCATCTGGCTCACTCATCACTTAACCTATTTCTATGTTTTCTAATTAGTAATGATGCTTTAGAAAATAATCTCTCAGCAGGTACTGAAGTTGCAGGTATTGAAAGAAAATCACTGGCCATTTTCGAGAAAACCAGATACTTTGTCTCATGTGTCCTCTACCACTCTAAAATGTCTTCGGATCTGGCGGCTCTGGGTACTTAGTACTTAGTACTTAGGTACTCTCAATTCGTCTATAACTAAGTTTCTCAAAGTCTATTACGTCGTCATCTTCATCATATCATCATAAAGTACATTAAATTTGCGCAGGCCTTCTGGTTTAATTTGCTTCCCCCATACTGTCATGTCAAAAGTCTGAGCCTTATGCCTTGGGTCTATAATTAAAGAGGTACAATATATCCAGTTGCTCTCCTTAGAATGTTTCAGCATTTTGTCGCGAGTTGCTTGAAAACCCAAAATGAGCCTTTCATCCACTTCAGATCGATTTCGTTTCTCATCTAATTGTTTTGCCATGGGTTCAATTTTATCGAGCAAGAGATTGAATGATACAATGACAAATGGTAACGTAACATATTTTTCTCCACCAAGTTTTGTTGATAAAAGTTTAAAATTTATTTTAAACTTATTTTATTTTATTTGCCAGTCACTATCTAATGCCATTTCTCACTTTTAAACCAAGTGTAGAATTCCATCGAGTAAGGGATTCAGATTTGATGGCACGTCAGCTGCTTCACAAGCAGACTGAAACTTCCTCTTCAATATATCACTTATTTTTGTTTTACAGGAAATACTGCGAAATTCGTTGTAGTAGTAGTAATATTGTAGTTTTGTTACTTCAAGAGGTTTACATCAATTAGTACATTTAAATCTGAATTAATTGGGGATCGAGGATCACTCGGTTGGCAAGGCGTTAGACCAGCCGGAGGATGTGGGTTTGGTTCCCACCGGGTGCCTTGGGTGTTGTAATCGTTAAAAATTTGTTTATAAGTTGAAACTTGCTTGTAAGCTGGCCGAATTTTCTTATGATGCAGTGTAAGTAAAAAAACATCAGAATTAATTAATATTAGTTTTTTATCTATGGTTTTGGTTAGTAGTTGGTACGTCCGTGGTTTGAAAACTAAAATTATATTGAGAATTAATTGTCTCAGAATGCATTAGTTTAACCTTGAAGTCTGACGGATGCCCACAGGACAAAGTAAGGTAGTTTGGGGTACAAAGAGTATACTAGGCAATAAGAATCGCTCAAATATTTACGATAAGGAGTTCCATATAATTTAGCAACAACGGTTTTCAACAAATGTGACCTGTTTTTTTATGGCGGCCACGTTTTGCCGGGTAGTTGCATATCCGAACACTTTTTTTATTTGTGTGTTTTAGAGGTCGTCGGATAATAAAACCAGTAAGTAAAATCTAATCCTAAAATATTTGCTCTAAATTGATATTTATTGGCCTTCAGTTTTGGCAAGAAAATTCGGGTACTTTTACTTTTGCCAATTTCTTATTCTCTGCCCATTTTCCAAAATCACGTCTTGCTGGTTTCCTCCCACACTCATATTCGCTTTTGAGTCTCCACTTTTCGTATTCTTCAATGAGTTTTTGAATCATATACTCAATATATCATCCGAATTTTGTGCTATTTGGTCGTTCGCCAACCTGAGCGTATATATTGAGGAGTGGTTAAGTAGCATACCCATATTTGAACATTTCTGTTTTTATTTCCAAACGCGGCCTTGAAACAGTTGAAACAGTTGTGTTCCCAAAGAAGAAACGAAATATTCGTTATTTTACTGGTTGCTCTTCAGTAATATTAGATTTAATAACAGCCTCCGGCTACATAAACTGATTTTTTTTTTGGAATAGCTTCAGTTATTTGTAAAAAGCATAAAATTTGCAACTGACAACAAATCAAACTTCTAGACCTCTTTAAGTTTTTCAAGAAGATATTCCTACTTTCGATCCCAAACCTACTAACACTAATAATGATTCAACTATGTCGTTCGAAGATAACAAGATACCATCAACGCCAGGTGATACCGTGATACAGTAGAAAAAAGCTATTACTCAATTGTCGGCGGAACTTACATCACCCCGTGTGACGGAAAAAAATTACCGGTCAATTACCAAATAGTAAAAAAAAATTGCAGTGAAAGTTGAAATTAACTTTAAAAAGATGTGACAGATTTTTTTTTCCTCTGAAGAGGATAAGGTACTTTATTTGCAATGTGGCGATACTTTTGGAAACTCGGATGAAAAATGGACCCGTGCAATATTTGTCAACTTTGGGCATACACTTTGTGCACTCCTCATAAAACTGGAATATTCATTTGCGATTATTTGTACTTGTGTCATGTAAATATATGTAGATTTCTGTATTTTATATGAATTTAGAGAAAATGTTTTATTTTGTAATATTTTTTCCAATGCTTTATTTGCTTGTTCATAATTAAATACAAATGAATAAAAACTTAATTTCTATATTTCTTTCTTTTTTCTTTGGTTCTAATTTCTTCGTTCTTATTTTACCCCTTTGCTATATTCTTTTTGCCCTGTAGGGTGGGTCAAGAAATAGCTGTTAAGCATTTATACAAAGAAACTTTACTTTTTACTAGTTATTGTTATAATTAAAATAATACGGGTATTTTATACAAAATGACTTTTGCTGACCGAGGCTGCCCCAAAAAATGGTCAATTTTTGAATTTTTTGAAGATGTATACGTAAGGTGCAAAAGTTCTACATATTTTTGCGTTCCGCTACGACGAAATAAAATATTGCGAGGTAATTACGTGTCAATGAGCGGTTTGGTTCAATTTTTGCCAATCGAAACGCCCGTTCCCAAATCGAATCGAAAGCAAACAACATTCGCGACCTACAAAAATAGAAAAACCGCGAAAAAGCCATAAAACTCGCCGCTCCGACACTTCAAACTCGGAAGATTTACTTATATGACGTGCGAACATAAAATTGTTGCGCTTGGTTCGACATGCGTATATTTAGAACCGTCTATTTTGAGGCTTTGACCTTCGAATTTCCTTTTGGGTTTCATTTATTGATCAGTGATATCGGGCGGCGTACAGGATGTTAGTTCTTGTCGCGTAGATATCTCTAAGGGGATGGAAACAAAACAAAAAACTCTAAAGATTATTTGAAAATATATATTTAAATGAGGAAGATCATTACTTTCTCTGTTTGTATTCACAAGTTTTATTTATTACTTTATTTATAAACGGAATCAATTTAAAATCAAGTACTATATCGATAAAACACAATTCAAAAAGTAATATTCCGTGAAAAACTGAAAAAAGAGAAGTGGACGGGATATTGGAAATAATTGTACCAAAAAAATTTAATCCGTACTCTATTGTGGCGTGGAGTAAACCCATTGCAAAATCGGTCATTAAAAAATGGACGAATAAAGAATTCCTGCAATGGTATAGAAACACCCTAAGACAAGAGAGTACGCTTTTGTCCACTGGACGTAACCAAACCAGAGGCAACCAGCTACACCAAGGAGCAATTATCAAAGCTGTGGTGTCTAATCAGAAAGCTAAGCCTAGGAAAAATTGTGCAACTGTGGAAGGAGTCTCCATAGATCCATTGGGTCGTAGTGAGCGACACGGCAAACTCTAATCTGAATTTGAGGCACACACCCATCAGAAAGTTCTAATCACATAAAAACACTTTCAAAGTTTAAATTCGGCCTAAGCTCTTGCTTTAATAAAACATGTTGAGTTAAAAAAAATCTATGAATTCGATGCAGGTGTTGAATCCTGATATGTAATAAGTAAGTTTGAAGAAGTTTCCCATCAATCCACCGGTCATTTTAATATATCATCCTGTATAAAACAATATTCTAGTATTTTTTTTGTGCTACGTGACGTTCATTAACACGCTAAGAGCGACAGTACCCATTTTGGGCTACCGTGCTGATCCCACTAGCGCGCCACAGCAGTGCCACTATAAATAAAATAAAAACTAATTGATACGTTTTTGTTGAATAGGTTCTTCAAACGGCAACGTCGAAGACGGCAAAACTTAAAGCCCTCTAATGGATGCATAGGACTGTATAAGAGGATTCACCTTTGTAACACCCAGGTAAGTAAAGTATACATTATTACCGGCATTTCTACACACCCAAATCAGTGAATTGAGTTTTTGTTTGCGCGGGTTCGCACCGCTGAGGCTCGGGGCATTAAGCGCGTCTCATAATGATGTCACGTTTTTGATTTCTTTGACGTTTTCTAAACCCAAAGCCTTGCTTATGGTTTCCGACTCGACCATAGACTGCTAGATTACTTTTTAAGACGGAAACGATTGGGTTTTGTCTTCCTCTGATACGAAAGATCGTAGAGACGCCTTCTTTTTTATGAACCATATTCGTTTTTGTTATACCAGGTGCCAACGACAATATTGGTAGAGCGGTTAAAGTTACAATTTATAAATTAAAACCTGTTAAATGTACCTTTTTCCTTTCCCAAATTTCCCTCGGTTTCGGAAATACAGTATGATTTATAAAAATTGAAGGTGTTTATTTTTTTATGCTATGCTCCGTTTTAAATACCACCACCATCTTTAAAAAAAAGATTTTTTTCTTTAGGTATCCTAATAGCTATACTTTGTTGTAAACGATTATAAAAAAATCAATGCACGGATAAAAAGTTGCTACGGCATTACGAAATATTTGCTTCAGACGTCTCTATAAAAAAAATCGGAATACATACAAAAACTGGGGTAAAGTCTGGCTAAATGATTTTTAAAATTAGCATTCCAACAATAACACGTCGATATTTGTAAATCCTTGTTCACACCACAGTAGAACATTTTGTTGCTGGTCGCAACTTGTTTATGGAAACAGAAACAACAGCAAATGTTCCTTAAACACTGTGTCCATACTAAGGGAACTCATTCTAGTTTCTAAATCTTATAAAAACAGAAAAAACGAGTCCCTCATTTTTGGACTAGACCAGGTCTAAGTCTTCTAAGTTCATTAAAGAAAGATGATTAGTATCTGAATGTAGTGTAGTGTAGTGTAGCTAAATATGGAAACAAGTAACTTTCAGTAAACTTTTGGCGACATTCTATTCAAGAGTATAATTTTAAAAATTTGTTTACTAATTTTTCAAAGAAACTTCCACAGGCTACTGTAATACTTTTTACAAAACTCCTGGATTCTTCCTGCGTCGCCTTTTTGCTGAGTCGAACTTGCTGACGTTTCGCCAATCATCCTGTTGGCTTCTTCAGCAAAAACCGACGCAGGAGGAATCCAGAAGTTTTGTAAAAAGTAATTTGTTTACTAATTGAATAATTAAAGCATGACATATTAGACCCATCGAAATATTGATAACCCAGTTTGACACTAGGCTGCATCCTATCAGTCATGCGCTATCCAGAAAAATCTTTTGGGTGATTCCGTCTAATCGTTTATTTTACTTAAAATTTCTGAAAATAATAAAAATAACAGCTTGGAAAGATTTTCCTACAACTTCAACGCTTCCAAGAACGAGAAACAAATTTCAGATTTTCCGACTCAATTATCCACGGTACTGACATGAAATAAATTTCAATTCTAAAATCATATAGGCAGGCTCTTTGCATTACTTCACCAACTTCGTGTTTGTAAACACTATACTCAAATGACATACTTTCTCAAGGTAGATGGCGCCCGAGTCACATAATTTCAAATTCAGAAATTCGTTAAAGTTTAGAGACAAAAGTTATTGAACCGGAATTCAGTGTTAAGTTATTATTATTACTTTTATCGAAGAATTAGAATATATGAGGTAATTAGTTTAAATCATTTATTGATTTAAACTAATTACACATTAATAAAAATTAAAAATTTTATATAAATTTTAGGATATTGTATGTTCTCTCATAAATTTCATTATCAGATTATTAATAATTCACCAGTGAGAACAAACAAGACATGAAATCAGTTAAAACAGAATCTCCCTTCTGCAGAATTTGAAGAAATTTAACAGAATCTGGAATTGTGTCCAAGTTGATGATGATTTTCGCAGAAACGGAAGTAGTAGGTAAAATCTGAGTAGAGCTCTAAAAAATAATAAAAAGTTCGATCATATTTGTTTTCCTAAAATCAATTGATTTCCTTATAATTTTGATTTTATTTTGATTAATTTGATTTGATTTTGAACCTAAACATTTTAAATAATCATGAATAAACTTTAGATTTACAAATTATTAAAAATATCGAAACTTTAAAAATAAAGTGAAAATATAAATTAAAATAATTGAGTTAAATTTTGATCCCCCACTCCCATATTTTCTTGCGCCCGCTCTGTCGGCTACCTTATAAGGTAAAACATTAGAAGGAAATTCCTTTTTCCGTTTTATTGTTTCTTTCTATAGGTACGTTTAATAGCATGGGTGTATAAGTTGTGATCGTTGTTCTCTGGGCTCATAAAACCGAATCTGATATCGAAATTAAGTGGTTCCGATAATCAACCGTACGATTTTATTACCACCGCCACGCTTTTAATTTTGACCGTTAGGTATATAATCCAGTCAAATTAAACATGAAAATAGTAAGGACATAACAAACATTCCGACATACCTAGATTTTGGTGGAGGTCTTGGGTACACCCGTATTGCCCGCTCTTCATCGATCCCGTGTGTGCTAAAAATTAATCAAGGTCAAAAGTTTTGCAGTTTTCCTCAAAAAAGGTAAGTTATATCGAAAAAATATCTCAGGCGTTAAACTGTAAATCATTTGTTTATTTAATTTTTTTTTCAACGAAATTTCATTTTTTTTCCTTTTCATTAATTTTTTCATTTCTACATATAAGTAAACAAATGAGTATTTACAAAACCTCTGGATTCCTCCTGCATCGATTGCTGTTGAGCCGAACTTGCTAACGTTTCGCCAATCATCCTGCTGTCTTCTTCAGAGCTTAACAGAAACTGTTAACTGAAACTGTTTGAGTTAAGCTCTGAAGAAGCCAACTGGATGATTAGCGAAACATTAGCAAGTTCGACTCAACAACAACCGATGCAGGAGGAATCCAGAGGTTTTGTAAATACTCATTTGTTTATTTATCTGGAGAAATGAAAGTATAAAATATAAACCTGCTGACTATATAACAAACGGAACATTGAACAAGACACTACATATATTTCTTTGGTAGGCTCGAACGAGGCAGGTAGATACAATGTGTGATATGGTTTGACGTGACGTGTGGTGACGGTACTTTGTTCGATTTATGAAGGAAGTCGGGACACACGCTGTGTCCAGTTCTGATCATGTTCAACGTGGACAACATCCTACAAGTTAGCTCTAATCCGAGAGAAAACTGGGGTCCATTATATCAAAAGTACAACGGATGCTCCATTATACTCTCCCATTCCTGTTTCCATCACCCAGCGGTATTTTCCACTAAGTGTTCTGATTCCCGCATTGATAACTTACGAGATTTCAATCTGTTAAGAATAGATCTATGCGCACGATATAATGCATCTTCTCTGTGGAATTCTGGTGGGGCAATACCGCTCAGGACTGGGAGCCGTTGTGTAGCTTTGGAGCCAATAGGCCTATCCCACACATGGCGGAATAAGGGTAGAATCCACATAGAATCCGCCACGGAATCTGTCGGTGCACATCAGCACAGTAGATCAAATAAAGAAACCCACAAATTTCGGAGAGCCGGAGCCGAAAGGAAAAAATATGAATCCAGTTAATTAATAAGAGGGTGCACAAATAGAAAGATAGAACGATGAAAGAAAAGTGCTGATGAGAAATTGGTAAGTTGACGGAAGAAGAAAATTGGAAGCTTGCATCAAGAAGGAAAAAACAAGATGCGAGTACGTACCTAAACCTAACTTAATCATGACAATAAGTAAACAGGATCTTCGAAACTATCAGCTGTTTATCAGAGAGAGTCCAATAGTTAGAAGTTTCAAATTCACTTATTTGGAAACGATGATTAATGAGCATTGAAACGATTCTCAAGAGATTAAATGCAGAATGGAAAAAGCAATACAAACTTTTGTGAAAATGTCAAAACCCTTTAAAAGCCACAATTTCTCAACAGTCTTCTATGGAGACATTGACAGAGGCAACCCAAAAAACACTTGAAGCATTTTAAACCTGGGGTGGCTAGCCAGTTAGACAGAGTGCCTAATGAATCAGTACTGGAAAGAATGAACAAAAGAAGGGAAGTGATAAACGCTAGAAAAAGAAACTATATCACTCCTAACAACAAAGATATCACTCCTAAGATTGTACATTTCTAAGAGCGTAAATGCATTTTCTTAATGCGAAGTTTTATGGGAAAATGTTGTCTTTACTTCATGATGTTTAAGAAGAAATCGAAGAAGACATGAAGTCGCGTTTGAAGAGTATGATTCAGAATAAAATAGTAAAAAACCTCAGAAGTTCAGTATAAACCAACCAATATCAATAATAAATTCATTATTTTCCGATTGAACTCTACCATAATGGATTGTGCAAGTAAAACCTCCGGATAAACCACATTAACAACAAATCGCCAAATACATTCCGCAGGTGTGGAAATAGGTGCATAGAATATGGAAATTGATTCAATTTTTCTAGGCAATTTCTCCGAAACTCTGATACTTTTGGTACACTTCTTTTAGATTTTTCCTACGTCGAGCAATGACTCTGTTTTACTAGCGTTATGTCAAGCATGCTGCTGGGTTCTTTATAGCGAGAGCTGTCTGAAACTGACTTTAGCAAAACAAAGTCAATTCTCGACGGAGGAGAAATCCAGAACTGTAACTCAGTACTTCTAGAATCGCGATATTTTAGCAATGATTGCTAGAAAGAAAAGTGTCAGGATTATTCTTGCCGATAATTTTAGGACCCATTATTTATGTCTGAAATATTTTTAGATAAAACTTTTCATTTCCGGGAAAACTCTAAAAATCCAAAAATTTTATTTATTTATTTCAACGGCTGAGGCAATGAACCAAAACACCAATTTAGGTAATAAGATATTTTTTAATAACCATATGACAAATATAAAAACAAAAAAAAACATTTAAGAAATAGTAAAAAAAATAGCATCACACTAGTTACTTACAATCAACCACTTCTTATAATTCTGTCTTAAATAGTCGAAGACCGCTAGCAAAGACAGCAGTTGTTATATAATCTCAAGGTTTGAGTTAAAAGAGAAAAATAGTCATAGTTGGCGTGATGAAATCGAATGCAAAACATTGGGGAATCCTGACGCCTTCCATAGCTAGTAATAAAACCAAAACTTTTCATGTTCATGTCCTCCAACTGATCCAAAAAGATCAGTTTATTGTCAAATGTGACTCCAAGGTGGCCTCTATCGTTGAGTTGTTAATAATACGAGGGCAGCGACAAAATTTCCCGACCTGAATATGAAAGAAACAAAGTAGAGTAACAATTTTTTATTATTTGCATACACTGACACATTTCTTGATTAACAACTCAATCCCTTTAAAAAAATATTCTTTTGGTTTGTCTGCAAAATGAGCTGAAGCAGCCTCTTTTAACTCATCCGTCCACGTAAGTCCTTTTTCAAATATCCAAACAAATAATAGTCGCGATATTTTAGCAATGATATCTGGACATATATCTGGATTATAGGGAGGATGATCTATCTGTTGGAACCCACACTCTAAAATGGCAGCTTGTGCAACACCAGCAGTATGGAAAGGTGCATTATCGTGCAAAAGACGCACGCCTTTGGTCCTTGACGTTTTACACGTACCCAGTCTCGCAATTTATGTAATAATGTTGCGTAATATTTACCATTGACAGTGGTATTAGTTTCTTTAAAATCTATCAAAAGAATTCCTTCACAATCCCAAAAGATCGTGGCCATCACCTTTTTTGTTGACTGGCAGACTCTGAATTTTCTTGGAGGTGCTTCACCCTTACGACGCCACTCCATTGATTATTTTTGCGTTAGAAGGTCATAATAGAGTTTCATCTCCTGTCACAGGCTTCGGTTCCGACCCACAGAGTTCCAAAAAAGATCTCGCACACTCGACACGGCGTTGTTTTTGAATAGCCGAAAGGTTTTTAGGAACCCATCTTGCACTAACCTTATGCATACCTAAATAATCATGCAGCATTCGAAGAACACTTGTATCAGCAAGCTTAGTAACCATATGACAAATATAAAAACAAAAAAAAACATTTAAGAAATAGTAAAAAAAATAGCATCACACTAGTTACTTACAATCAACCACTTCTTATAATTCTGTCTTAAATAGTCGAAAAAAGATCTCGCACACTCGACACGGCGTTGTTTTTGAATAGCCGAAAGGTTTTTAGGAACCCATCTTGCACTAACCTTATGCATACCTAAATAATCATGCAGCATTCGAAGAACACTTGTATCAGCAAGCTTAGTAATTTCTGAGATTTCCTCGATTTCCTTCGATCACTCAACACCACCTCTTCCAGAATCGCAATATCTTCCGTTATGACCTCCACTGGTCGACCAGTTCTTGAATCATCTTCAAGGGACTTCTGCCCCATTCGAAAACGTTTTACCCATTCTTTCACTACAGAATAGCAAGGAGAACTTTGGCCGTACACACCATCCAGCCTTTCTTTAACAATTTTAGGTGCTAACCCTTCTTTTGTCAAAAACTTTATCACTGCTCTATACTCAATTTGCGTTATTTGCTACATTTTTTCAGACACGTCTTGTTTAAAATGCTGTCAATAAAAAACTATTTGACGCAAGACTTCATTTTTTTTTCGCAGCCTACTAAGATATGTATTTAAAAGAAGACAAAATTTTATCGTGATACTGGAGCTGCATCTATTTCAGGCCGGGAAATTTTCTCGCTAACTTCGTATATCTATTACGAAAAGTGCCAGTTAAGCGAGAAATAGTAATTCTAAAACACTTTAGATCCAGACCATTTTTTTTTACTTCTTTGACTGTTGACCTTGAATAACGTTTTGGCACACATGGGATCGACTTTTGCCACTTTATTTCTACTGGTCAAGATCTAAATTAAAATCCAGTTCCGTCGAAATTGTTGTTTATTGAAACGTCTATTTAGCTCGGACTAATATTTATGCGCCGTGTAGTCCGTAAAAAAGAAGATAGCCTAATTGATTTGGCAGCCACGCGAGTCCATTAATTTTATGACTTTTTCTTTTTCCTTTCCAGGACTGCCCAGTCGAACGTGATTTTCGATACGAACAATGCTCTGCGTTCAACGTTCGGCCCTTCAAAGGCAAAACCTATCAGTGGGAGCCGTTTTATCAAGGTACGACGCAAGATCATCGATTACCGAATGCTTACGATCCGGTAGAGAAAAGAATGTTTTGATTTCGGGTTGACCAAATCGATCATTCGATCTTTTCATTTGTATTATGCTTTCGCTTACAGGGTGTAATCGAACTGACGTTGTATAATTTAAAGAATAAATCTCAAGCCCGTGACAAATATGTGTTACAAAAAAAAAAACGAAAAAACTAGCAAAAAAAATTTTTGTTGAAAATGTGAAAAGGGGAGGCTAGTGATGGCGATGAAATTTATCATTGTAATATCGATTGTAATATCATTGTAATATCGATTTTATGAGACAAATTTTATTTAGAGGGAGACGTTAATACTAATGCGAGATAAATGTAATAAAAAATTGTTTTATATTATCTACCTTTCTTTGAACTAAGTGGTTGTGATATAAATGGACTATTGTTGACTAGTGTAAATAAATTAATAAATATTTTATAAATTGCAAATTCCTAAGCATATGCGTTGAGTAACGCAGGAACACATTCATTTAAAAATCAGGTCAAAACGCCATGTTTTTATTCCATTTTCCATTTTTGTGTGAAATTTCACTTATAATTCATGTATCGTACTTATATATGTACATACCTATCTGTTACTTTTATGAGCAAACGATTAAAGAAATAATTTCGCTTTTTTCGTATGTAATCCAAAATCTGGAATCATCTAAATTTTGACCTTTTCGTTATACACTTTTGATTTTAAATATCCTCAGAGGAGAAAACCCAGTGGAGATCTTGCAGGTCATTCTATTGATCCCCTGCTCCCAATCCGCTGTCCTGGAAATACGGTATATAAATATTCACGCACTTGTAGAGCAAAATGGGGCGAGACACCATTCTGTTCATAGAAGGAAAAAAACTGGTAAGAATTAAGTCGTTTTGAAGAAATTATAAATATCCCTGCTCAACATTCATTTGTTTTGGATGTTGTATGATTTTCTCTCATCCATCGGACATTATTTGTACTCCAATACCTACAATTTTGTTTATCTACGGAACCATTTAACCAAAATATGACTTCATTTAAAAAATTAAAAATTAAAATTCTCTGGGTTTCATTGATGATTGTAACAATTTAATAACTTTTTGACCCACCTTGTATATTTTCTTTTTACTGTGCGCATTTTTCTTGAAATCCTACACGTGATTTTTACATGAATTTGTTCCATATTTTAGGAGTTTAATCAATATCAAATATTAATCAAAATATTACCTGATCGAATTTTGATCTTATCATTTGTATTGTATGATAATGTATTCTTTTTGAGAATTATTTAGAAATAAAAAATAAATATTATTTACTTATTGATTCAGTTCATTGAAATTTCACTTATAGAAATAATAACAAATATTAGTTAAATGTACACGTATTCTGAATTAGAAAATACATAAAAAATTTTGAATTGATATAAATTTGTTTCTTAGGATTTTTTCGAAGGTATTTTTAAGAAGTTAGAATATCATAAATTTTATTGTTTACAAATATTTAAATAAAATATCAATATATTAAAATGATCTTAGTTATAATTATAATGGTCAATAAAGTGACCAAGAGAACAGCCAGATGAGACGCAAACAAGAATCTCCATTAGTAGCTGTATCTTTCTATTTTTGCCTCACTTCTCTATTCCACCGAGTCATACTGTTGCTTTTTAAGTAGGGATATTCCGATACTAGTAAATACGAGTAGGTACTCGATACTTTTGATTCGATAATAAGTATTTATAGCATCGAATCAATCTTGCGATACTTACACGGTATCGAAACAAAAGTACTTGGTACCAAATCGAATCAGCCTCACCATTTAAAAAGAAAACCGAACGCATCAAACATAATCTCTATCTGATCGATGGTGACGCCTTGCCTCGCGCCAGCCAAGCCGAACTCGTCCGACTTCACTCGACGGAGCCCGAGCCAAAAGCGACATAAATTGTCAAACATACAAGAGATTGCTTACGAATAATTGTATTTATTGTAATCATCGGCTTATTATTCCAATGTTATCATGGAGTTTTTTGTTTAAAGTACGTGCTTAATGCAATTTTGTTTTAATTATTGTCCTTCAACGTTCATTGTTAGTTTCCTTAAAATAAATAAATAAATAATAGTACTAAAAGTATCGATATGAGTAAGTATCGATACTTTAGGAGTATTTATTTGAGTAGTATCGAAAAAAGATTTGAGTACTATCGATACTTTAATAGTATCGGAACATCCCAGTTTTTAGGTGTCAATAGTTTGCAAGAGCTAAATCCAATAACGGATCTTATTTGTTCTTACAATTAACTTGATTTAAGTGGCATTTTTATATTAAGAATAAGGCTTGTGTGCCAACCTCTAATACACAACTCTCCAGTACAGTTTAGCTTCAATTCCATTAAATTTTAGATAAAGATAGAAAATAAGATTAAAAGAGCGAGAGTGACCAACATAGTTTACATATCTTTTTTGTTACACTTTATGTCGTACTGTCCGGGCTTCAAGCGGTGATCTGCACACTAGCGCCATCTATTTGCCCTTCCACTAAACATAATTCAAACAATTTGGATACTCTGCAATGCTTCTGTTGTAAAACAGGCAGCTTTGGTTTGCAGTGCAATGCAATAACTGCTCATAGATTTTTGATCGTATTTTTAATGAATTCCATTATATCTGAATATATATGAACGACATAGATGATAGTTGTAAAGTTGGGCCAAATATGGTTTATAAAAGATCCTGCTGTTTTAACTCAGGATTTAAACCTACAAATATATAATACTAAGTACAATAAGGACCAATTTTTGAGAAGAAATTTCTAATTGGACAAAAAAATTATGCTCGCTAAAACAAACTCACTGTGCAGGTTAAATTTAAAATCGGTTCACCCTGTACAACATGAAATCCGGTTCGCGCTGTGCGCATGTAAATGTCGTATCGGCGTGTGCATATATATATATCGACAAGATCGGCCATCTTTTATCGATGAAAGGCAAAAACCTGCCGACTTAAAAATTAATCCAATTACGGTAAGAATAATTAGTAACTGTCTGTTAAATGAATAAAGCCGTTTTATAGGATAACAAATGAAAGAGGGTTTACCGACGATCGAGGATGCTATAGCGGGGCTTACGAACGCCGACCACGGAACAAGTGAAAAGATTAACTATAACAGACGCCAGATTATCCTGACGTAATACCATGTTGGGCGGTTAATTAGGGCTCGAGCCTATTTTGCGCAATTAATTTTCCGAGCTTTTATTAATCCATAAAATTTTAATTTTTCGTTTCTCTCTCTCTCTCTCCCTCTGTCTCTCTCTCTCTTTACCCGTTCGTAAGTAGAAATGCATGTGGAAATTAAAAAAATATATTTTGTGAAAAATAAAATATTTGCTCTTTTATACAGGGTATTTTAAAAACCCGCTGCAATATTTAAGGAGGTAATTCCTCAGATCATTCTATGAAATGTAAATGCAAGTCTAGAAATGCATTGTTTCCAATATACACGGGTTTTTAAATACCTAATGTTTTTCAAATTAATTCAAATATCTTCTCAAGGATTTGTTTGAAAGTTTTTAGCGTTGCTTCTAGTGCTAAGGGACTGATTTAGCCCAAACTAAATAACAATTAAACAGAGGGTTATGGTGTGGGGGGGGAGGAGGTCAACTTAATTGACTTACGATACTTGCCTGAGATAGAGTGATATTTTTTAATATTCTAATAATATCCAATCCAATAATCCAATCTTGTTATCATGGACTAGCAAACTCATTTGGGGATGGACTGGTGAAGAACGTAAAAAAGAATTTGTACGAAATACACCTAGAATATTTTATTCAAATCAAAAATACCAATGGCGTCTCTAATTGACTTACACTCCGCAATAATTCGATTTCTTAGGTCCGCTATCTCCGTGAGAAATTATTTGAATTACTTAAATTATTTGAAAAAAAAACTTTGTATCTGGAAATAATGTATTTCCGAACCTACATATGTAGGTGCTCTTCAGTATTGAAAATATCAAATATTTTTTGGTAAATTAGTGTCGTATCACCCAAATCAACCAGAGGAGCTTTAAGATTGTATTAAAAATATGTTTTTCAGACCACTACATTTTATGAAAGTATTTTTAAAATATAGCACACATCCAAGCACTTTTTTGTATTAATTTGGACGTTTGGTATCCCTATAGTTGGTCCACCATTTGATAAAACAGATCTGACTAAACCGGACGACTGAAACCTCTTCCTAAATTATTATTCTTTCCAAAAGTAATGTTGGCAGGGGTTTGAGCATTGTTTGCAACGCGTTTGATCTTCCACCCATGTGAGTCAGCTGTTTGTGAATATATATTCACTTATTGTTCGCAGCCCAAGCGGAATGTACCCTTAACTGCCGACCGGTTGGAATGAGCTTCTATGCGACCCTCAATAAGACGGTAATAGACGGCACCCCGTGTTTTCACCCCGTAACATCGACTGGCAAAGCCGCCCCCAAGGGCACCAAGGGAGTGTGCATCGACGGTTATTGCAAGGTAAGTGTTTTCCTATTTCGTACTTCCTTTGATTATAGAGAGTTATAAGAGCAGTTGATTAGCTGTTGGTAATAAAGACGAATGTCATCGATAGGATGCCTTAGAGTATTATAGCGGTTAGAATATCCGATATGCAAAAGCCTATTTCGTATTTTTAAACTCAAACGCGTTACCAAGTGAGTATTCTGTATCTATTAAACCGTTAGAGGCCCTGTCCAAAGCAGAAATTTCAAATATCGTTTTTAACCGATGACCTTGGGGCGTTCAACAGTCGTCCGCTATATTTTCTCAAAATATATCTAGATCTCGTTAAATGTTCAGGGAAAACGAGTTAAATGTTTGTAAATTGCTATTTAGAAAGAAAATGGCGCAAGTGCCGGGTATTAGGTGAAATGTAGAGGCATGCGTGGGAAATCATTCCTGTCTCTATGAAAATGTCAAAGCCGCCTACCGCGCATCAATTTGTAGCGTAGTAGGGTCACTATATAACCGAACGATTCAACTACATGCATTAATACTATTAAATGGAATGCGCGTGAATGTCATAATGTCAAAGAAAGTATCTACAAAATTGTGAAATGAAAACAACATTGAGAGATCTTTTCAGATTTTAAATATAATATTTAGTGCAATAACAAATTAACTGAAATTTAAAAAATAAAAATAAATAAAATACATTGTGTGCTGTCAGACCACTTCTCACTAATTAAAAAAATAAATAAATAAATGTGTTTCTTATTAATTTAAGATGGGGTTGCGATATTGGTTGCATAATCTTAAGAGTTCAATTCTTTCAAGATTCAATGTCTAATTGTCCTCGCGCATTCGCCAAAATTTAGGATTAATGGTAGGCCGCAATAAAAGCTCTACTTAAGTAAAACAATTTTTTTAGATACTATTTCTATTTTACAAAATAGGATAATGAGGAAACAAATTTTCACTAACGGCCGGAATACCAAATTTGATTGTTTTCAATTACAATTTTTCCAATTTTCTGTTAGTATCCTGTTGGTCCTTTTGGCTTTTGAAAAAAATTATAAGCGTGCTCCGACATGCCAGTCGTTGCCTATGTCTTTATCGAAGAGGCAATGACAGTGTAATAAAGACGTTGCGCACTGTCGCAAAAAAATAATGAATCGGGAATAAGATCGCACAGCCTCCTCTGTGTTAACTTTTTGCCGCCTTTTTAACTTGACACGCCGATTATGGGAATCATTAAAGAATGTTAACAAAATCGCAAACATCCAGTAGCGTAACAAACTACTCGATGATGGGGAGTTTTATTAAATTTTTATATCCACATAATTAAATAGGGTACGTCTTTGATTTTACTGGAGAAAATTGCAGTTTTAACCATAAAATTCTAACAAAAATAATTAAAATTAAAGTTTTTGTATTAAAATTTTATTCGTCTTTTTTTTCGTTGCTGTCTACTGTACCGCCACTCCATTTTTTAAAAATAAATATCCTATTTATAATTAGCTAAAATAATATTTGCTTTTATAAATCATATATTTTATTGTTTTTTTAATTAGACATTATGTATTGAATGGCGATTTATGACTTCACGTCCGTTATAGGGAAATAATTATAACAACGCGCCGACACTGTCTCTGTTATTGTTAAGACTACGCCAGTGGTCGGCGGAGGCACTCCCTTTTTTATGGCGTTCATTAAAAAAAAGTGTTAAGACCCAGTGAGAGTGGCCGAATGAAAATCGTATTACGGCCGTGAATCCTTTTTCAGAATTTCGGAATTAATGGGGCAGCTTCCAGTTTTTTCGTTTCACGCGATATTATAATTTTTCGATTTTTATCTAAATTTAATTTGCATCTAAATCGGTTTATCCATTAGGAGGCGGGCCGTTGACATTTTGTGTGAATAAGTGCCGATCGTTTCATCGATCGATGCGGTCGTTCAAGTTTTGTTTAAAGTAATATAGGTGACACCATCGCTAATATACAAACCAAAAAGGCAATAAAAATGAAACAAACATATTGCTTTTTCCATAGACATAAGCGAAACAAAATTTTAAGAACACTCTGAAACTTGTTACATATTTCGAACTATTTATTTGGGTCTGTACAGGCTGTTATGAAAATGACATCGTCTATTTTAATAAACCAATGGAATAGAATATAGACCAATTCCTAATATCGAATCAATTTTTTATTTTAATTTTAATCAATTTTAAAATTAATTTTCTACTTTTTGTGGCTGTATGTAAAAAAGTGTAACAATTACGAAAACGCAAAACAAGTTAAATGTTTCCATTTACCATAAACCTTCACACACGGACACAGTCATACATAACAGCTCAAATCACCCTTATGCACACAAAATGGCTGCATTTCACTCTTTTATACACAGACTTCTTATTACAACAATAAAACGAAATGTCCAAAATCTCAAAAATCAGGTGTCTACAGGTTGAATTGCGGATTTTAAAATTTGTATTGGACAAATAGGTAGATTTGTCAAGAAACGCATTAATGAACACAAAAGAGCGTTCAAAAATTCAGAAAAACACATTTTTGACGACAATTTTTGATATTTTACATACAGCCACAAACAAGTAGTAAATTAAATTTATTGGACGCCATGGAGATTAATTTGATAGTTAGCGGAACCAAGCGAATACCACGCCCTCAGAATACACCTGCACAGAAATACAAAGGCCAGAAAACAGATGAGTAGACCAGCAAACAATAGCCAAGTAGCATATTATCTCTTATCTAGAGGTCCAACAGTTTGGTAGATGCTACTGTAATCGAATACAATGGCGACCGAGCGACACGGCCTGAACACCTATATTATACAGGGTATTTCAAAAAACATTGGTCAACGCTCGGAGGTGTTCCATATTTATAAAAAAAAGACTTGTCATAAGCCACATACCGGAAATGAAGCTGTTGATGTGCGGTAGAATTTAATTTATTGTGACCAAAGGGTCTATAAAAATCCATTCTCTCAATTTTCGTATATTTTATTATTTATTTTCGATCCGAAATGAGGGCAGATACCAAGAATCGAAGAAAGTCGTACTTTTAGCGAATTATTCAACGTAAATAAAAAAAAAAACAAAAACACACACAAAAACCAGTGGCGGACACCTCTTTATCAATAATATTCGTGACGATTCCTCCGAGGACGCAACTGAACTTCAAATTTCAGCAAAATCAGGCAAAAAATACTGAACATATTATAAAAAGGCTGTTTTTTCAAATATTTATCCTCCCCTAAACTAAGCATTTCCAAATCTTTTTTAAATTAACTGTTTCCTGTTTCTAGCATGACGAATCTCAAGTCGGGTGTTTGCGCATGTGCTCTTATAGATATTTAATTTGCATACTTTCCATTGAATGGCTCAAATGGCTTATTTACGTTCTAACCATTTTTAAGCGCCTTAAAAATTATTTAACAAAAACCAAATTGTTTAATTTGGTTGGTTAATTTTGTTAAAGGTTAATTAGTTTTCCATAACTAATTTTTACGGACGGTCAGCATCTCTTAAATCATTCACTTCAGGTGTGGGGCCAGTTAGGTTCGATTGTAATACTCTCCAGACATTAATTTGGGGTAGCATTATATCCGATATATCCTGTATAGATGAAACATTGATATTTAAAAAATATGTTTTAATTTAACCGCGTCTCCTTAGTTATTAGAAAAATGATGAATTAGTCGCCCTTAGCTAATTATGAAATTATATTAAATGATTAAATGTATACAGAAATAAGTTTACACACACTACTGCACTAGCCTCATGCTGTTATATAGGTCATTGTTGTCAATAAGTAGAGATATATAAATAGTTAATGAACAGCGAACAAGCCCACGAAATATTAGCTAATGAGTATTTGTTTGAGAGATGAAAATAATATGCATAAATTAAATAAAAAATATATACAAAATTTTAAGTGTATGTAACATTACAAATTTGTAACATTACAAATTTAGAATACACATACTATATCGACCTTAACCCATTCTTTTATGTTCTTTGTACATTCGTGGTAGAATTTTGAATCACGTCAAGTACCATGACAGTAATTTTCTTGTTCCTCTTCTTGTTACGTTTTCGTCTATGAAATAGTGTCGAAAAGAGGTAAGATGTTCTAGCGTTTCTAACAATAATTCGTAATTTGGTCAAAAAAATAATTGTCTAACATCTAATGTCTTTGTTGTTTGATAGAGTTCTTCTATGCGGTTCACTTGAAGAAACCGTTTTTGGGTAATTTCAATTTTTCTGTAGTAGTTATTGGTCAAACCACCCCATCCTAAGAGATTTTAGATATGGTTCAACCCATGCGCTATACAAAATTTGTAGGTTTTAGTAACACAAATTCCCAGGCATCCTTGAATATTGTGAGGCGGTCTCAATTTTTTAATAAGTATATCGATGTAATATTTCCAAGTCATGTCAGGTATTTCGCATAATCGGGAGAAACTATATCGATAAAATTTATTCGGTTTAATTTCGATTCGACGTTTTGTGATATTTGGCAAGGTCCGTGAATCACAGCTTAGTTAGCTGTTTATAGAAAAATTAATTGTACAAGCAATTGAAAGTCGTTTCCAACGTTGTTTTTGAGCACACATGATGCATCAGTATAAAAAATTGCAGTTTTATCTGCAAAACTCAAAATATTCCCAATTGAGTTCACACGAAACATATCGTTAATGTACAAAACAAAGAGAATTATTACACATACGTAACATTCTCTCAAATCTACTATTTTTTTCGTAATATTTTCTCTATACTCATTTTTTTTTTTGATATTTTGAAAATGTGAAAAGCTGCAAATGTTGACTTAACGATCATTAACTGAATACATTGTTTTCCCAAAAAAAAATTTCATTTTGTGACGCTGGTGACGAGAGAACCCCGACGAAACGTCAGAAACTTTTAAGCAACAAATCATAGTCGATATTTGCGCGTAATTGTTCATTAATTAAATACATTGTCGCGCGAGATGAAAGGATTTCGTTATTATTCC